TGTTGCTTACAGGTTCCACTTTCCACCAAACCCTAGAAGGCAACTCAGCTACATTTTCTACCACTTTCTAAAAAGCATTCTCTTTCCTCCCGTGCCTATATAACATGTTTCTTCTGAGACCTCACCAGAAGCACCTGAAATATTCTTATTTCTACCAACAATCTGTCCATGATGATACAGGCATTCTCTAAAATGATATATGCTTTCTCTACCATGGTCTTTACTTCTTACTGAGCCTTCACCAGAAACATATTTAGCATCCGTATTTCTACCAATAATCTCTTCAAGGAATTCTAAGCTTTTCCTGTCATGATGCCTCAAAATTCTTCCAGCCTTTACCTATTACCCAATTCCACATCCACTTCCACATTATTAGATATTTGCAAAATAGCCCCCCATTTCCCAGTACCAAAATAAACACTAGTTTCCCAGGGTTATCATTACTAATTACAGATGATCCCAGGCTTACAGTGGTTCAACTTATGATTGTTCAACTTTAGAATGGGTTAATCAGGATGGAACCCTGTCCTAACTGAAGGGGCACCTGCACCAGAAACAAGGTGTCTTTAAACAATAGAAATTTATTCTCTCACAATTCTGGAAGCTAGAAATTTGAGATCAAAGTGTTGGCAGGGTCACCCTCTGTCTGAAGATTCCACAGAATAACATCTTGCCTCTTCCTACCTTCTGGTGTTTGCTGAGAACCCTTGGCATTCCTTGGCTGGCAGCTGCATCCCTAGAGTCTGCCTTTGATGTCACCTGTCCTGCACGTTGTCTGTGCCTCTGTGTCTCCTCTTTTCCTTTTATAAGAATACCGGCCATATTGGATTTAGAGCCCACCCTAATCTAGTGTGCCCCCATCTTAACTAATTGTATCTCCAAAGAGCCTATTTCCAACTAAGGCCATATTCTGAGATTCTTGGTGGACATAAATCATTCACAGACACTATTCAACCCAGGATACATGATGTACCTTTTTTCATCCTTTCCCTTTTAATCTGTTTATATTGTTATATGGGCAGTTCATTTCTGCCTGTTTTCTGCCTGTAGAATCCTAGAAGTTCAACAGCCTTCTTTCATTTCATTCTGTCTCTGTTGCCTTTAGTACAAGCTGTCAGTACAAGCCGCTTATATTGGCAGCAGCATATAGTTGAATCTTGCTGAATTAATGGCTTATGATCCCCATTGTGGAGGGGAGACCCTTCTACATGCTGTACCCATTGCCCTGTGGACCTAGAGGTGTTCCTGTCTGGCTGATGGGAATGGGCACTATTTTCAGCCTTGTGTAATTACCAGTCACTGTTACCTTTAATCCTTTAAGTGGTTCTCTCTCCAGCTTCCAGGAGTTTCTCTACATGCCTACGTTGATCAGTACTAAGCTAAGTACTAAAGGGGGACTTTCTACAGATCTCTGAAGTTTTCACTCTACATAGCTGTCAGCTCTCTAGTACTCTGCTGTGAACTTTAGCCACCTTAGTATTCCTTGACTCTCAGCTTTGTTTCCTCAACTCAAGGAGTCTACCAGCCTCCTTGTTCCCCTTCCACATGCCCGGAGCCATGGCCTGGAAACTGTCTCAACGCAGCAAGCTGGGGGAGCTTAGAGCTCATACCACTTGTTTCCCATTGCTGAAGGATCACTGCTCTTCATTGTCTGACGTCCAGTGACTTGCAAACTATTTTTTCAAAAGTGTATTTTATTAATATATTTTAAAAATGTATTTAATATATTTTGTCTTTTTTTTTTTTTTTTGCTTTTTTTGTCAGACAGGAGAATAAATCTAGTCCATGATACTCCATCTGGGTCAGAAGCAGATACCCTGCAGTTGAATTTTTTGGAAGTGGAAAATAAATTGTGACACTGAAATTTCCTTGAACTGGAAAAGATTTGTCCAGCCACACCCTTGGCCACATTGTCTGGAGTATATTATCTGAATAGGCTGAACATTTTCCAAATCAACTACTGGCGCTTCTTTGTTTAATAGTTCTTTCCTCCATTTTTCTGTTTCTGCTCTCATTTTGCTGTAAGCAACAGAGTGAAAACAGGCCATACTTTTTACGTTGTTCTTGAAAATCTGTTCAGCTAAATTCCTAAGTTTGTTGTTCACAATTTCTATTTTCCACCAAACCCTAGAATGCAATTAAGCTATATTTTCTGCTCCATTCCAGGGAAGGTCAAAAATGTATAGGGTGGATAATACTGACAAATTCACATCAAGATGGTGAATATTTCTTTCTTGGGAAATATATTTATGAGGTAAGTCCATAAAGGACATCAGGAGGCAGCTGGGCTCAGGGGTTTGATCTCCTGGGTTTAAATCTTGGTTCTCTAATGTATCAATCAGTTGTGTCAGGTTATGTCACATATGCACCTCAGTATCTCACCTGTTAAATGCAGATAAATTTGGACTCTTGTAAGGATTTAATGTGGTACCACTCAGTACAGTACCAGGCATATAGTAGCTAGCACATTTGACTTTTAATAAATATGGACTCATATTATTATAACTTTCACTTCATAATATTACCTAGAGACTACAAGTGGAGCAATATAAGAGAGTGAATTAACACAAGGTAGAAACATATTGCCCTGCCCTGTAAGTGTGTGAATGGGATTAGCACCATTTATCAATATTACGCCTAGCCTGGCATGGCGGCTAATCCTGGTACTTTGGGAGGCCAAGGCGAGTGAATCACTTGAGGTTGGGAGTTTGAGACCAGACTGGCAAACAGGGAGAAACCCCATCTCTACTAAAATTACAAAACTAGCTGGCTGTGGTGGCACACACCTGTAATCCCAGCTACTTGGGAGGCTAAGGCAGGAGAATTGCTTGTACCTAGTAGGCAGAAGTTGCAGTGAGACCAGATGGTACCACTGCACTCCAGCCAGGATTACAGATAACAGAGTGAGACTTCATCACACACACATAAAAATTTATGCCTGACAGGCTTCCTGTGCTCAATTCATTTTTTTTTCTTTCAGGTGGCACATTTATAGTGGAACACAGTAGATTCCCCTTTCTAGTTAACTGCACATTCCCTAAGTAAGTTCAGACAAATTTTTATTATTGTCTGCCTAAAATTCCATCCTACCAGTATGATTGAAACCAGGGCCTGGGAAGTCTCTGTGCTAAAGGAATTTTCAAGTTATCTTTCAAACTGTGCCATATGTCTGTGGCTTTGATAAAGTAGATCCACTTCAGAACAAAGTGAGACAAATCAAGTTACTCAGAATCTCACGATGTGGTCAGGCTGCTTACAATATCAAAGCTTAGTAATTTGAGACATTACATTAAAATCATAAAGTTGGTGCCCTTGAGCTGGTGAGATGATTCTTCATCGCAAATCCAGTAACATGTTACCAACTCTCAGACCCCAATTTTATACTACTTGGCTCTTTATAATCCATTTTAGGGTTCACCTTATACCTCCTCTCTGCACTTCAAGTGTTGGACTCTCACCCAGAGCAGTAAACTTCTGAGATTACTTCCAATTCTTTTTTGCCCAAAATGAAAAATCTATCATTTGGACTTTTTTTTTTTTTTGACCTATAAGAATCAGGTTAAAAACTTTATTTGTTGTTAAAATTGTCTATAAGCTTCTGACTCATATTTATTTCTGTTATGGTTATACAGTCATTCTGCTCCAAGAACTCTCTCTGATTCCAGAAACCATGAAGAGCACCCAGTGCCTGCCTTCTGATATGGTTTGAATCCGTGTCCCTACCCAAATCTCATGTTGAGTTGTAACCCAGTGTTGCAGCTGGGGCTCCGGGGGAGGTGATTGGATCATGGAGGGCGGTTTCTCACGAATGGTTTAGCACCATCCCCTTGGTACTGTTCTTGTGATGGTGAGTGAGCTCTCATGAGATCTGGCTGATTAAAAGTGTATGGCACCTCCCTCGTCTGTCTGTTGCTCCTGCTCCCACCTTGTGAGACATGCTGCTCCCTTTTTGCCTTCTGCCATGACTAGAAGCTTCCTGAGGCCTCCTTGGAAGTAGGAGCCACTTTCCTGTACAGCCTGCAGAACCATGAGTCAATTAAACCACTTTTCTTTACAAATAACTCAGTCTCAGGGATTTCTTTGCAGCAATGTGAAAATGGATGAATACACCTTCCTAGACTGGGTTTGCTCTGGGAACTCTGTACAGTAGACAAGGCCATAGTTTTAAGTCCTGCAGCCCGACACACCCAAGTCCACAGTGGTGTCTTGTAAATCTTGCATCCTTCTCCTGCCTGACTCCTGGGTTTAGGCTGTTGTTCTCACGAGAGTTGATCTGGAAACCACTTGATAGCAAAGGAACTGTTGGAGGCCTCATATATCACGGCACTGCTATAATCTTAGGGCTCACATAATTAAGCTCTTTCTTTATGTGTAATTATTTTCAAGCTGCTCAGAAACTTGCTGTGTGGCCTTGAGTGAGTAATCCACCCTCTCTTGTGTCTCTGCGTGAAATGCCCTGCCTCTGCAAAATAAGAATTTTATTGACCTCCCTCATTGGGACTTGGGCTGGATTAATCTGTTCCTGTATTTTAAAGGGCAATTAATTCCAATTCTTGCTTCAAAGCCAAGTGTTAGAATGTTCTGTTCTAATGTTATGCATGGTGTCCACAAGGAGCTAGTATTAGAAAGGATACAATGAAGAGAAAACAATCCTAAGAAGGATGACCAAAAATGGTATCAACGTTTTCCTCTTTCTTTGTTTGACTTTCAAGTCCTGTCACATCCCCCCGAATGTAGGGGATAACCAGGCTCCATTTTGCTTGACAAACACGTTTTCCTGTGTTAGCTTTACACAATAACAACAAAAATAAACTCTATGTGCTTTTCCTCCTCTATGTTAATACCCAATGCCTTCCTCCATGGTAGCCCTACAGAACTCAGGAGTGAGGCTGGCAGTCTTCCAGTGAATTGGAACAACATGTAGAGCCTGGCGGTAGATCTGGGGAATGACCTGTTGTCCAAGTTCACAGTGTGTCCCAGATAGTTCAAATCACAATGGAAACTAATTTTTCCATTCCTCTAGAAGGCAAATAACAGTAATAGAAACTCCACTAATGAGAACGAATGGGGAATGGGACATTTTGATAAACGGATATTTCCATTTCTAGACTTTGTGGTTGAAACTCTTAACTGTGAAGTAATTCACTGTGAGAAGGCTCAGTCTATAGGAACACAAAAGGGTGCCTTCCATTTGTGGATGGAGGGGATCTGAGGAGCTCTCATGCTGAAAAGGAGTATGTGCTCCAGATCAGGCCAAGGGGATGAGCAGCTCTGGGGGACGAGGCAGAAAGAACAATCACAGGGGTAGAGCACCAGAGCCTGGGTCCAGGTGGGTGAGTGACCTTGGCCAAGCGACTGGACATCTCTAGTCTCTAGGGAAGCTTCCTGCCTAAACCTGATTGTGACCCTAAAGATATTCTAGAAGCTGTTTGGGTTTTAGCAAATCTATGCCATTCCCTTCTTTTCTTACTTATGTGATACTTTCTTAATTCTGTCTTGCTCTCAAAAGTGGAATTTAAGAAAGCAACCCCAAACAAGAGTTTCTATTTATTTGGGCTCTAATTAAATAAAGGTTTTTTTGCATATCGTTGCTTGTGCTACTTGATGAATGTCCCATGTCTTGAAATAATGGAAAATCATTAAGGTAAACATATTTTAAAGAATAAACCTAGCAAGCAGTACTGCTCAAAAGGGAATGGTTGTCAGACCTTATATTTTTCTAGCACTCAGGATACACTGTGTCATTCGCTCCTCCCAGTGATCCTGCGAGGATTGACGGCCTAATTTAACACCACTTTACAGATAAGACAACAGACTCGGAGTGATTAACAGACTCTTCCAAGATCACAGAGGTAATAAGTGACAGGATGGAGACCAGAAGCCAGAGGTGATCTGACCTCGAGGCCTGTTACTCTGTAAATCTATCCAGACTGCCTGTGCAGCTAATAAACATCGAAGCAGCCACACCGAGTCATGGAATGAACCGAGGCCTAAAGTCAAGTCTCGGTTGAAGTCCAGTTTTGCCTCCTAAAAGCTCATGTCCGAGTCATGTCATCATCTGAGCAGCTGTTGGTTCATTTGAAAAATGAGAAATAGGACACATACCTCTCAGGGTTGTTGCAAGGATAGAATTCAGGCTATGTTTGTAAGTACCTAGTACTGCATCTGGCACAGAGAAGAAATTCTGTAAAAGGTGCTGCTGCCTCGGATAACAATGATGATGATGATGAAAGGGAAATGTTTGAGATTTTGTCATGGACAATGTTAAGAGCAATTCTTTAAACTTTGTCTTAGAGGAAGGAACAGCATTTCTTCCATGGAGCTTGCCTATCAGGGTAAGGAGTGTTCCCTGCTCTGCAGATGCCCTTGTTTGGCTAAGAATTTATATGAGAGTTAACAACAGTCTATTCCCAGTTGGTTACATTAACATATGGGAAAAACAATACAAATAATCCTAAAAAGATAATCCAAAAATTACTTACATTTGTTCTTACCTAGAGTCTATATATCTAATCATCTGGAAATCACTTTAAACCTATGAGAAAAAAAAACCTAAGTATAAGTATTTAGCTTCCCCACTATGCTGGTCTCTTTAATCACTTTCCTATCTCTTCTCTGTTGTGGAAATGGAGGACACATTTTGCACATGGATATGGAGAACAACTAACACTAGCTTCACCTCTCAGCAAAAGCCCTACCTTCCAAGGCAGAGAGGTGCTTAGTGCTTGGAAGGAAGTTTTCCTTCAACAAAAGGGCAAATCCTAAACAACCCAAAATTTCATCCATCTCCATCAGACTATGGGGAAAATCAGCAAAATTATGAAGTAAAATCAGCAAAGTTATGAAGTAATCACTTCAAGGATTGTAATAATGCACAACTGAATTTTATACTATGTTTTTTAGTTGACAAAGCATTTTTTTGCCATGACATTTTGGAAAGCTCAGCTAGTCTTGTAAATTGGCCTGGAGCAGCAGATGGTAAGGCATAGGGGGTCATGCACTCTCACGTCCTTAATTCTCAGTCTGTGGGCCTTCCTTTCTACCTTACTACCCATGATGTGGACAATTCACCCTTGCGTGATCCATGCCTAGATATAAAGCTACATAGAAATACCCCTGATTTCCAGAAAGCTGGCCAACATGTGTTTAGATCATCTTCAAACCTCATATATTACTATTCTCATTCTCTTTGGCTATTCATTTGACTCTCATTTTGAACCAGAGAGAAAAAAGTCACAAGAACTCACCATAACCACATGCCACTAAAATTCTATCAGTTGCAATTTGGGGCAAAACAAAACAAAACAAAACACCCTCCTCATTGTGACCCTGATCCCATTGTTTCAATTTCAGGAAACTGCATACTGTTGATTTTAGCATCGAAGAGTAAGATTAAGGTGGATCCACATTGGTGCAGGACTCTCCTAGTGCAGCTTCCCCAAATTTATCATGCACAGGAAAGACTACACTTTTTCATGAAGAGAAATGGTTCCTGAAAATTCCAGATGGGCTAAGGACTTTTCCTAGAATCAGAACCAGAGTTTAAGTTGTGTTACTCTGAAAGACTCTCCCATGCAATACTCTTGGGTTATGCCCCCTCCTAAGGCTGGGGCAGGTGAGAAAGGATGCTTTATGTTTTCTTGGCCAGCAGGTATATACCCAGAGGTGGCAGAACTAAGTTCTTAATATCAGTGCCCAAGCCAGGTGAGATCTGCACATTTGCAGAGTTTTATTAGACTTTTATGAGAAAGCAAAAGTCAGGCTGACATGGGCCAGAGACTGCTGGAGGTCTTTTGAGAGAAAACATATCACCGAATCTTGCATGTTTCTGATGATCAGACATTCTCCAGTTCTGACAGAGTATGTGCAAAACGTCTTATTTTAATGAAGAAACCATTCACAATAATATATACTTGCTTAGGGATAGCAAAAAAATGTTATTTTAAAAGATATTACCTGCAGTGATAAACATCAGCCTATTTATCACTATTTTGTATCATGCTGCCTAGAAAAGAAAAACCTCAGAGCCCCGTAAGTGGAGTACAGTATATGATTTCTTTGAAACTTCATTATGTGTAGATTAACCCCCGTGAAATGCCTCCATCACATGGCATTACTGGGAACAGGTGAAAACAACAAGAAAGCAAATCCATGGATTTCAGAGTGAAAATCCCTTAGGCTTAGTTTCTTCTCTGTTGGGTCTACCCACATGAACATTTTATATTAGGGGATTTTAAGTTGCGCAACCTCTTTCTGCTTTCTTCATCACAGGAGGTTTTACATTAAGAGTTCTGCATTTTTTGACCAGAGAAGAAATGAAGGTGATGGGCTGTCCCTTTGACTGGTCGGGGTCCCTTCTCTGGGCACAAACTCATTCAATTATTTAATAAGCACTAAAAGTCTATGATTTGCTTGGGTAGGGTAGGAAGACAAAGAGGAGAGTGACATGGTTCCCACCCCAAGAAGCCTATGATCTACTGAGGAAGACAGGCCATGGTGTAGATAAATAACAAATCAATTATAAAAGATTTATGTACAATGTGCTAAGGGGTTTCAGAAAAGAGTTACTAATTTTGGAGACAGAGGGTAATAACTATTTGTTCTGGGTCTTGAAGGGCAAGTTCAAGTTTGCTAGAATAAAAGAGTGTTTCAGGTGGAGAGAACAGATCAGGCGAAGGCATGGAGGTATGAAAACACTGCTCAAGCCTGGGGCATGCAGACTTTCCAGGGTGGCTTCAGCCCCAGGTTCATGGAACACACAGAAGAATTGCTGAATGAGGCTGGACAAGGGGCATCTTGCTTTTCTTCTTTACCCACAAAAATCTTATACGTGAAACAAAGTCTCTGTTTTCTATTTGTTAGTCTCAGAAAGATCCAAATTCACTGATCTAACTGGTCCTAATAACTAAACACTGTTCTGTAACCACATGGTATTTTTTAGCTATGCTCAAAGTTATGGTGTGAGATGAAATTATTCCCCCAACTCACCCCCTAAGAGAATTCAATCTACAGGGGTGCCTGCGCCATGCCCTCCCCACCCTGCATACACCATTCAATTTCCTTCAGAACGTGTCCAGTAAGCAAGTCATGCCATGAAGGAATGTCTACATTCTTTCTGGTCCCATCTAACCCAAGGTGATTTTCCACCATTGACATCTCTTGGCATTTAGAAATTTAGTAACATAAATAATTTACTGTTTTATACATAAATCTTATGTACATGTACCAAAACCCATGTTTGCATGATAGAGATTATCTGTTTGGCTGTTGGTATATTTTTCATGACCACCTTTAGAATATTATGCAGACTGTGAAAAACAATTTTCTAGTTGTCTTTGTTTTTTGTTTTTCCCCCCACATACAGCCTGTGCATCAAAAGTCTATACAGGCCAGGCACAGAGGCTCATACCTGTAATCCCAGCACTTGGAGAGGCCAAGGCGGGCAGATCACTTGAGATCAGGAGTTTGAGACCAGCGTGGCCAACATGGTGAAACCCAGTCTGTACTAAAAATACAAAAAATTAGCTGGGCATGGTGGCATATACCAGTAATTTCAGCTACTCAGGAGGCTGAGGCAGGAGAATCGCTTGAACTTGTGAGGGAGAGGTTGCAGTGAGCCCAGATTACACCACTGTGCTCTAGACTGGGTGACAGAGCCAGACTCTGTCTCAAAAAGAAAAAAAAAAAGTCTACACAGAACAATTGCATTTTCATCTTTTCTCTGAAAAGTTTCTCAATTTTAAATTTTTTGTTTCAGTATTCTACCAGAAGCTTTGATGTATAAATTTCTAAGAAGAAAAAAAACAAGGACAACCAGAAACATTTTTTTCAAAGTCTGCATAATATTCTAAAAATAGTTTTAAAAAATATACACCAACCTCCAAACAGATAATCTCTACCATGCAAACATGGGTTTTGGTACTTCCAGCATTTGTTTTTCCCACTCAACAGAAGCAAAATCAATTGGACAAGTGGCCTAGTCAATTCAATTGAACTTTGCAAACTACCACCCTGTCATAATAATAAGCGCTGAATCGCCTGCCCGAACTGCTTACATAACACGGCTCTTATCACATGAGATTTATCAGCAGCTGCATTTTTCTTAGTAGGCTGGAGCCCAGTGAAGTCAATGGTGAAAGAGTCCTATTAATCACAGTTGAACTTCGCGTGCTATCTGTGATACCTTGTAAAAAGGAGGGTGATAAAAAAGATGCATGGTGACACTGACTGTCAGAAATGCTTATGGGATGATGTGCCTGTATCAGATGGCTTTGCAAGTTGGATTGGCATTCAACATTCTACAAGTGGAGTTTAGAAAAAAAAACACAA